GGTGATTTGCAATCTTTAAGATTCAGGAAAGTTAATACTCTTCTCTAACCATATAAAAGTAGGGCTCTGTGCTTATAATAATACCTGGGATTTCTGTAGAGATTAGCAATTTTCAGAGCAGTTTCATTTGCATAATGTCATTTGAGCCTCACAACATTCCTGTGAAAAAATTTTTTAAAACGTAGGGGTTGCAATCTTTATATTTAGGAGATGGAGATGAGATACAAAAACTGAGTAAACTGCCAGGGTCCCCAGCATTATGAGCAATGCTGGCTGGCTGTCTTCGGAACACTTGAACATTCTACGTGTGCAAGTGCTGCGTACCTGGAATAAGTCAGGCTCCTTACTGACCATCTGTCCTGTGGGGTGGGAGTAAGTGGCATTTCTTTCTGGGCAGGGTTCAGCGCCCTTTGCCACCTTAGTAAAAATGTTATTCTCCTGCTTTTCATGGCTAAAAGCAAAAGTAATGATAACTTTGAATATGTGTTTAGAAGCTGCCTCTCACCTCACTGAGGGTCACTGTAAGAGTGCAGGGATGGACTCTCCACTGACGAGTCACCTCCATTCTCCTTGTTTCCCATCAGTGGCAGGCAAACTGGCTTAGTTGGCTTGAGGACTGCTAACAAGCCTGGCTTTGCTGGCTAGTTAACATTCTACATCAGCCTGTTTGGTCACAAGTGTATGCCTTTGGCCGGTGAGTAAAACAGCCTAAATCCGTGATTGCATCTAGAGAATAAAAGATCTGTAACATCCTCCTGATAGTAGGTTAGGAGCATTATCTTTGAAAGTAAAGCATAGCATATAATTGTATAAAGTCCCAGGCTTGATAGTAGCAGAAGAGATGATTTCTGGTGGTTTCAGCAACAGAATTTAACGTCACAACATGGTTGGACGTATCAGACTGTCCAACCCTGGATTTAAAGTGCCCTGAGCTCTTAAATCCAGGTGGAGAACTTGCTATCTTTCCTGCTCTGTGGACAGATGTCTTAGATCTGAGGGGGCTTTTAGTTTTCAGTGAGACCAGAGACCAGGGGTGCATAGACCTAATTGAATGGAAATGCACTTAGAAGAATAAAAGTGTTTAGAGCATGTGGCAGTTGCAGGTTGGGCTTAGGCAATTCAGTAGATTAGCTATAACTGAAATTTAGAATTTGCCATCTGCCTCTGAATAGGTGTGTGTCTCTCTCACTCTTAGGTTTGCCTCTGGACTTCTGCATGCCCAAGCTGGCCTTTCATCCCTGACAGATTAGTAATGTGTTGTCTGTCTCCAGCTCCTGCTGCTTTTCCCACGGCCTTTGTCACATACCAGGGTGCAGAGAAGAGTGTCAGGTTGTCCATACCCACCCCCAGGTGGGAGGGATGGCCTGGTTTTTGTCATTTCCTTATTTTTCAGGCAGATCATCCAGGCAGAAATTCCCTCTTTCCTTTTAGGAGAGTCCTAAAGAGCCCTGCCCCTAAGTGCAGTGGCTAGAGCTCATCCTGCTCAATATCGGCACAGCCCCCTTGTCCCACATGAAGCCTGGACACTTGGAACTGCTCAAATAGGAATTAAGTTTTTCAGCTTTTCTATACTACCATCCCTCAAGCAGGAAAATAAACAGGACTCCAGTGTCCTCTGAACAAAGCCAAAGCTTAAGATTTGCCATGTGGTGAAGTGATAGGGAGGGCCAGGCTTTCAGCACTGGCACTCAGCAAGTGCCAGGCTTCCCGTTCCATCTGCTACACTCTGCCCAGCTCAGGCAGCTCTGGAAGCACCATCCTGCCCCAGCAGAGCTCAGGCCTTGCCCTCATGGAGGATTATTGAAATCCTCCAACATGCAGGAGCATGTTGATTTCCTGGTTACATCACATTACAACGAGAATCAGAATATGAATTTGAAATTGTCTTCAACTTACTGTATGCATTTTTTCACACCAGTACATTCTTAAGTGTTCTTGTTTATAGAGAATAACATAAACTAACCTGTACCTTTATATATATGTACATATATACATGTATAAACTGTATAGTGTACATGCTAATGATTTATTGATATGTTCCGAATCTTTACTGCAGTTCTCATCCTCCGCATGCCCTCAGTTTGTGGTCAGGTGATGAATGTTCCCTGGTGATTCTGCCCACCTCCTGTGTTTGGATGTCTAGGGAAGAGGGTTTTGGTCATACCCTCCTTATCCTCGTGCACAGAAATGCTCAGGGTCCCCATGTGCCTGTTGTTCAACCCTCTCTTGTCTCTTGTTCCCTTTCTGAGCATGTGGTCCCTGTTCTGTATCTTCTCTGCCTCCTCCTCAAGCTGTGGGACAGCTGCCTTTCTACTGAAGTGTAAAGCAGTATTAAGATCGTTACTGCATGTGTGCTTTAAAAAAAAAAAAAAACAGTTTTCTGTTCCCTTGGGACAGAAAATTGCATGTGAGGTGGGTTAAATAAGTCTCAATGACCCATGTCAGTTACACAACAAAGCCAGACCCCCATAATAAAATTCCACAAAATGGAAATAAAACTCAAATTTCTTTAGCATTGTGTAAATAAATCAGGATGTGTTTAACTTTGTACTGGTAATTTTCTGTATATTTGCAATACTTGGGTTAGAAATAAAACAGACTGGGACTTTGTTACCTGACCTACTAAAATGACTAAGCTACGATTTGTTAATATGATAGCTTTTCCAGTTTTCTAGCTTTAGCAATCATACCAAACCAGCAAATAAGCCAATTAAAGAGCCAGGAGTATGCATTTATAGCATGAAAGGTACTAAATAATTTACGGGGGAAACTACGCACTTTTTTCTTTCTCTATGCTCATAAAGATCTACTTCCCATGGATATTTGTAAGACCAGCTTTCTTGTTCTTTTCCCCCAGAAGTCTAACTGACCTACTCCACATACCTACTCAGGTTTCAATTGCTTTACTCTTCCTCTGGACACAGCAACATACAATTACTCTCCTGAATTAGATGTTCCTTATAGCAGGCCTGACAAATGACAACACTGAAGTTTAACTTCGGTATCTTTCCATTTGCCCCTCTTATATTTCTCTTGCTGCTTTTCCTCATAGTCCTTCCTGATCCACTTCATTTGAGGATCTCCAAAGAGTTGCAGCTTTCCTCTCTTCCAAAACACTTTTAGGAGAGGTTCCTGCTCATCCCCCTTGAACCTTGAGGCTCAGCTAGCTCCTCAGCCTGCCATTCCGGGGTAACATTTTTTTGGAATACTTGCTGTGGCATTATGGTCTGAAAGTGACAAGGCAAAGACCTTGTTTTTGAGGAGCCCACTGTCTGGTGAGAGTTCCTTTGCCAGGAGAGGATCTATGGTGGTTTAATTTTCAGGAATTTATCTAACAGTGTTCTCAGACTTCCTACACCAGAATCACTAGGTTGCTTTTGAAAACGCAGATTCCTGGTTCCCACCCGGACCTATTAAATTAGACTTCTGATGGACTGACCCTACAAGTCTGCATTTTTTATTTGATTCTTGTACACCTTCACTGCAACAAAGGACTAAGACTGAACGCCTGGGTGTAAGGGAGTGTTTGGTGTCCCTTGGCATGGGGACCTTCTGTACTTGTAAGGGCCTTGGCTGCATCAGGCCAGAGAAATAGGTCAGAGAGGTTTCACCTGAGTCCCGGTGTGGTACAAGTGCAGCCTCTCACCAATGAGTCCTGGAGGCCAAGCTCCACAGCCCCCTTCTTTTTCCGTCCTAGCTCCTAATAAACGGGTTCCTGGGCCCAAAGTGTGTCTACAGTTTGTCCTGGACCTGAGCCCCTCTACAAGTTGCAAAGAGGGCTTCTGTCCCACGCGCCACGACAGTAACACAGACTACTGAGATCCTATTGACTCTGCCCCCAGATTGAGGGCTACCAGGGAAACATGAGTATGGAGCCTATTCATTCAACCACACTCCCTTTTTTCCCATAAGAAAAAAAGGACCAGGTTGGGAGGGGTATATAGGAACTCGGTGCTTTCCGCTCAACTTTGCTGTGAACCTAAATCTGCTCTCTAAAATCCTTTATAGAAATATATATGTACATACAGAGGGGATATTGGCTTCTGGAGGTGAGTACGATAGGAAGCTAGAAAATTTGGAGGGAGTGTACAGCACGTGTGGAATGATGATTTGGTAAACCTGGAAATGAATAGGACCTTTAGTAGGTATGTAACCAACACGTACTGTGGGTTGGCCACTTTCCTACATTTTTATCATTTTTAATCCATCCCTGGCCTCATTATCCCTTGTTTCATAGACCAAAGACCTGAGGTTCAGAGGAATGATTTGCTCTGGGTCACTTAGCTAATGAGTGAGCAGTATAGCCAAAATCACACTCAGCTCCTCTGACCTTATGCCCCTAGCTCTCCTGTCGCCCCACTGCTGCCTCTCACTTTATTTGTACTTTATCTCTTAGGCGACGGAGCTTTCAAAGGAGCCAGCAGCCTGACCTAAAAATAGCTTACGTTTATCAGGCACTTAGTCAGCTACACTCTGCTAAGCATTTTACACAGATTACCTCTTTTAATCCTCACAAGAACCCTATGGTTATTACCATCTCTATTTTTCAGATGAGGAAACAGACCTAAGACTGTGATGTGTTGCAAGTCACAAAGCTAGTCTGGTGATGGGGCCAACGTGAGCCCTGGTAGTCAGGCTCCAGAGTGCAGACTCTACCTTCCACTGTCACTAGGGGGAGGTGGAGAGAATGGGCACGCACCCTTAAAGGTCAAGTGGACAAGACCTTACAGTTCACTCAATGTGGGAGCAGAAGAGAAAGAGCAGTTAAAAGTGTGCCCATCACCCAATCCTGGAGCCCCTTTCTTTGGACCTTAACACCCTGTCAGATGAGTTGGAGGCCAGGAGTCAGGATGTCACCTAGTCCCACAGGAGTCAGAGGTCCCATTTGGATGGTCTGTGTGTGGGGGAGCAAGGGGGAGCTGTTTGAAGTTCAAGCTCTCTCCTCCTTCCCTGGTGCTGTGAGGGGTGTCATCTCACTGCCAAGATAACAGGGCCACCTCGGCCCTCCTCCTGTGGCTATTCTGGGCTGCTGTCTGATCCCCCTCACTTCCCCCAGCCCCTGCTTCAGCCCTTCTGCTGGGAGTAGCTGGGTGGGGAGAGGCCAGCCCAATTAGAGAACCCTGTGGCAGGGACCCCTGGAGAGGCCGAGGAGCAGGTGCTCAGCCCCTCCCTCAGCACCAACAGTGAAAATCTGCCGCTGGAGCCCAGCCTCGGGTAGCCCAGCATGGAGGCAGCCACGGCACAGGAGGTGGCCTTGGGACCCACGCTGAAGGTGAAAGAAGACAGCCCAGCAGATGCTGAGGAGCCCCAGACTTCACCTCAACAGGAGGCCAGCAGCCCCATTCCCCAGCTCCTGGCTCCTCTAGAAGGTGACTTTGGGGGTTTGGGAGGGTGGGGAGGCCAAGTAGTGGGAGTTAGGAAGCTATCCCGACACCCTGAGAGCGGCGCCTTAGGTTTGTGCAGAGCTGCATGACTTCATGGGAGTGGGCCTTAGGATGGAGAAGCGTTCGTTGGAGATCCCACCCCTTTCTTTGGTGGATTCTTACTTGCTACTCAAGGGTCTTTCCTGGGTTTTTAGTTGAGACTTTCGTGAATGCTGTTTGTGGCACTTTATAGTGACTAAAAATTATCTGTTTCTATTTTTTACCTTTAAAAAAGTCTGTCACAGGGAATAGGAGGACCTTCTGTACTGATGCTGGTCACAAAGGGTATGAGGGGTGAGACAGTGGCCGTCTAGATTAGACGAGGGACACGAAAAGCATAGAGCAACTGGGAGGCTAAGTAGCAAACAGTCCATGGCAATGTCTCTCCCTGGGCAGTGCTATGGGTCTGGGACCCACCCCAACACCACCACTGGCTCCCGTGGGAAATCCTCACCTCAGAATCTGAGTTCCATGAAAGCAGAGCCTCCCTGGGAGAAATATTTGGCCTCCTCTCTGTGGTGGTCTCTGTGATCCTCTCAGCAAAGAGGCATTTTCAAGCTGGGAGGTGGTGGGTGTCCCGCCCAGTCCCTGGTTCCCATTCCCTGCTGCCCCCGGCTGAGGCCTCCGTAGCCCACAGCTCTGTGCCGCTCACCTGGGGATCCCCACTGCACCTGGCGCAGCCGACCAGAGGTAGAAGGAGAAATAGAGAATTCATTTCTTAAAAGTCTTAGCTCAGGGACAATTCTCATCATTTCTACTCACATATCACTGGCAAGAACTAGTCTTATTGTCAGAGAGCAAGGGGCAGCACCTTCTCAGAGATAATGATACTATGGAAGAGATTATGTAAATTTGGGTGGGCAATTAGCCATCTTGGTCACAGAGGTGATGACGAGAGAGTGGATGCTTGAAGTTCAGTTTATAGAGGGGTTGCAGTTATTGATCTACAGAATGACTAAGGAACGAGTGTAAAGCAGGGAGCACAAAATTCCTGGAGGAGTGGCAGGCATGACATTCAGCCCAGAGGGATTGGAAGGATGGCAGTTGAAATCACCAGGAATCATGACAAGTAGTGCTGGAGAGAGTGACAGTGAGCCAAGGCTAAAGCCACCAGCAAGAGGGGAAGACTGCTGCAGGGGAGGGGTGACGAGTCTTCTCAGAAAAGTGTTGCTTATGTCTCTGTCCTTTTATTTTTTCTGACCTTATTTCATGGTCCTCAAGGAGATGACACTCTTGTCCTTCGCAAGGTGCCCCTGGGGTCACCACACTCCTTTCCCATCACATGCCAAGCCCATATCCTAAGCACCTGCTAATGTTTCTCTAAGAAATGCTGGTATTTTCTGGATCCCTGGAAATCTCTGGTTATGTTTCAAAGCCCTAGTTCACCTTGTGCATTCGCCCTTTTCTTGTAACCATTTGCTCACACACACATATATTAATAGTCACACACACTCACACACACGTGCGCACAACCCCTTCACGCCTCAAATGTGTCCGTCTTGTTTCTTCACTCTCCAGGCCATAATTAATGACATCAATCTGAACTACACAGCCCTTAGGGAACTGTTGGGGAAAATTCTTTAACCATGTGAAAGGAAATTATGAGAGGATATGAACAATTTTTCCCATGAGCAAAGAATAAGGAAATAGGCATAAACTTGAGCAAAATGAAATTAGGTTAGAACTAGGAAGAATTTCCTAATAAAGAGTCAAGATCTTTGGACTTTAGGAAGCCTTCTCTACTAATTTCTAAGAAAGACTTAGATAACGTCCTGAGAGAAATACAGCACTGAGAGACACAGCTCAGAGCCAATGGCTCTCAAAGGACTTTTCAAAATGCCTTTTCCTCAAGACTCTATGAAGGGAGAAAGCCAAACTGTGGCTGTCTCACACCTGGTCTTAGAAAACCTAGGTTCTGCTTTTAGGCTCTAGTCTTTGGTTCACATCCCTCCTGGCATCTGAGGAGGAGAAAGCCATGTTTCCCCAAGGTCAGTACAATTAACACCTCGCTGGACTATGGAGGTGTGAAAAAAGATGCCTCAAATGAGCCCTCCTATTAACATTCTCAGCAAAGGGTCAAGTTGCTCTTGTTTGCTGGGCAGACAAGGCCTGGGTTAAGCTGGGGAAAGGCTTACTGCTGCCCAGGCACCTGGAGCTGTCAAACACTCTTCTGCCACCTCCCACACTTTGTCAGCTGCTTTAGCCTCAAACCCATCCTCTGCCCTCCCACCAGGCCCTGGGGGCCTGCTGAAAGTCATATCCTCGCCTACTAATCCTCAGTTGGAACATTCTAGTAACTTAAGTTTGTCCCATATCAATTCATCATATCAGGGAATCCCACTTGTAAGCAAAGAATTGGCACAGCAGACCCAGGGGGAGGAGAAGACTACCATCCCAGCTGTCAGCCTGTCTTCTCGCTCTGCCCCTGTTGGGATCCTCTCTGGATCTCCGGGCCGTTCTGCTCATCCTCCTCCTAACTCCCCCATCTTAGCTTATGTTTCACATAAACCTATTTCTTTAATTTTTCTCTTTAGTTCAAGTAAATCTATGCTAACATTTTCCAAGGTATTATGCTAAGAAACAAAAGAAACACCGAATGGGAACAAATATATACATGAGCATGCACCCATCTAGAGGAGCCCGTTTCCTTCATGAAGTCCAGGCGAAGCAGGGTTCAGTTGGCACAGCTTCTAGGCATGACAGCCTGGGCTCCTTTCCTCACCCCAACCTCTCAATTCTCTAGAGTGTCCTTTCTTTGCCACCTCCTTCCAGGGGCAAGATCGCAGTCAGAGCCCTGACTGTGGTGCCTGGTCCGAGGTGGGCGCTGGAGAACAGGTGAGTGGACAGATTTGGCATGCTCAGAGATCGTGTCCCTCAGACGCACATTGCTAGATAGGTAGGTAGGAGTCCTGGTGCCAGCACAACCTTCCAAACAGCCATGATGCCTTCAGCAAATCTGTTTCTCTCTCTGAGCCTCTTCCTTCCAGTCTGTTCCTTGTGCTGGGTACTCATCAAGGCCCTGCATAACACAGATATTCTGTAGGCAGAGCCAGGCACAGTAAGGCCAGCTTCTGCCCAGTCCTCTCTCCAGCAAGTGTGAGCAGTGATTTCCCCGTCCAACAGTGGGGAACCAAGCCCAACAAGATGAGGTTTTGACCCTCCTTTTCAATTGCTGCCCTCTTTTTTCAGAAAATCCTTAAGTCATATCCGCCTGTTCTCAACTCCTTGGTGGCTTGCCAAGATGGCCCCAAGAGAGGAACACATCACACAAATACTTCTTCTGTTCTTCATGCCCTGCCCCCTCCCAAACCATCAAAGTCCAACAGAGGGAAAGCAGAGCAGGGTTATTCAGCTGCCTGGGCTCTGTGGCTGTCTTGTTCCTACTGAGGCTGGCAAGCCCTGAGCAGCACAGGCCGAATGGGCACTCAGAGCACTCGAGGCCCCGTATCCCTTCTTTCCTGCTCTTGTAGGGGCAGGGTAAGGTGCAGTCTAAGATAGTACAACCCAGGTGGAAACATAAGGTACACAGCAGAAAAGGAAACTAGATAAATAAAATGGACAGTGTGCGCTGAATATTTGTGTTTATGTCCATTGACAAAGACAGGCCAGTGATCTTGAAATCATAATGGGAGGGGACTATGGGAGTGAAGTTCTGGGTCTCTAGACAATGGTCTACAAGGAGTAGAAAGGACATAGCAGAACCTCTATTTATTTTATTTTAAATTTCACTGTTCAAAAGTTTGCATTATACATGTAATATTTACACATTGTACATATTTAAACAGTTCAATGTATAAGTAAACATACATTGGGGTGAATGCTCAGGCATGTATTTACAGGGAAATGGATGTTATCAAAAAGTTTGGAATCCACTATCAAGCAGTTGTGCTGTTTGACACAGCTTTATACTGGGGTGAAGCTTTTCCAACTGATAGGAATGAACTGTTAGGGGGAGGCTGAGAAGATGGTGGGAACTGAGGCACTGTCATATTCCACTTAAGCCAACAGCAGGAGGAGACTATTATCTCCCTGAGAAAGGAGGAGACAGGAGGCCCAAGAAGGCTGGAAAATGCTGTTAGTTTTAGCCAGGCCCTCAAGGGAACCTAGGTGGGAGGTTTGCACTTTGTTGGCCAAGGCAGCCTCAGGCTGAAGAGGGAAATTATACCTGGTCATCCTCCAAACCTCACACTTGGCACTTTCCTGAGCATCTCCCGTCTTCATCCTGGAAGCCAATAAACATAATCTAATCTCTCTTTTCACTGGTACAGGCCTGGAAGAAAGGGGAAGTAAGCAGTAGGCCTAATCTTTCCCAGATTCTGTTCATACAAAGTGATCCTCCACAAACTAGAACACTATGCAGGCGCTGAGCAGGGTGGCCATGCAGAGAAAGGGACCCAGATGCCAGCAACCTCTGCAATGACGTCGGTGCTGTCTTAGTGGGTCCACTGTTTTGACTCTGTCTGTGGAAGGGAAAGGGTGGGGCTGACACTTGGAGGTTAGGATTAACATTGAAAGTGGCTTTGACAAAAGGAGTGTTGTTGAGGATAAATGTAGCAAATGGGTGGAAAGACGGGTCTGTGCACAAACAGAAAAAAGAAATTTTAGTTGATGGAAAGTCAGGAGTTGAGAGTTATAAATTAAAAGAAGCATCAGGCTCACACTCCAGGGCTCTTACTGCCAAGACTTGAACAATCTCTAGGAGATCCTTCAGGCAGTCACTCATCCCTACACCCCAGCAAAATGATAGGAGCAATCTTCCCATTCCCTAGAAGAGAACTGAATTGGCTGAGCAATGCCTCGATCGCCTGCCATGGAGCACAGCTGAACGCATCACCTGCTCCCTCTGAGTGCCACTCTTCCCACCGCAGGAGGCTCACCACCCATTCTCTCCCTTTCCATCACTCAGAGCACCCTAAAATCTGGCTACCTCGGGCCCTGAGGCAGACCTACATCCGGAAGGTTGGAGACACTGTGAATCTACTAATCCCATTCCAGGTGATCATGCCAGCCCCATGTTAGGTGCATGGCTGAGACTAGGACAGGGTTTGATTTGGAAATAGATACCAAGAGTCCTGTTAGCAGTGGAGCAGTCATCCTGGCCTTGAATGGAGGGAGCCACGTCACCAGAAGTCTAAGGCCAAATGGCCCTTCCATCTGCACTCCTGAGGGTGGGCTGGGTCAGGCCTCATGTGATGAGGTAAAGCTAAACCATGGCCTTCAGTCGGCAGAGGTCTGGGAGCTCTCAGCTGGGAGAGTTCTCGGGTGTTTGGGCAGCTATTGTTAGTCCCAGCTGCCCAGCATGTCCATGACCTAAACTCTCAGAGGGAGTGAGACTCAAAGCCATCCCCCTTTCCCATGATCCTTATGCTGCTGCTAAAAGATGGAAGTCCCCTGGGAGAATCCACCAACCTCTAACTCAAACTATTTGCAGCTGCAAGTCAAGTTACCATGTGGAACTGGGGTGGAGGTCAAGAGGCTTCTTGGGGCTGCTCACCACTTTATCCCCATTTCTCAGGGCAAACCCAAACCTCGAGCCACCTGGACACATAATGGCTATGCCTTGGATGCCAGTCGTGTGAGCGTGCGGAGTGGGGAGCAGAACTCCATCCTCTTCATCCGAGAAGCTCAACGTGCTGACTCAGGACGCTACCAGCTCAGTGTGCAGTTGGGCGGCATGGAGGCCACTGCCACCATTGACATCTTGGTTATTGGTATGGTGCGAGGAGTCAGAGCTGGGGTGGTCTTCAGGGGCTCCCTCTCCAGGCTGCAGAGGAGTCATCACAGAGAGCTGGGGAATCTAGGGTGACTCCTCCATACTGAGTATGTTATACAGAAGTGGGCGGGGTAGCTGAGCAGAGAAGGGAAAGGGGCATTCCTGAAGTGATTTCCATGCATGTGAGTTGTACCATGCCCACTGCCCTGCTTGGTCCTTTCAGAGAGGCCAGGCCCTCCTCAGAGTATCAAGTTGGTGGATGTGTGGGGCTCCAACGCTACCCTGGAGTGGACACCTCCCCGAGACACAGGCAATGCGGCACTCCTGGGATACACGGTGCAGAAGGCTGACACAAAATCTGGGGTGAGGCCCAGCTGGGAGGGAGGAAGAGAGGGAAGTGTAGCACATTCTGGAATGGGGCTCTGATAGCTCCACGTGGTGGGCTAAGGTAGACTGAGTTCACAAAACAGGTGTCTCATTCATGGCATCTTCTTGGGACCCCAAAGCTGTGGTTCACTGTGCTGGAGCATTATCACCGCACCACTTGCATAATCTCCAACCTCATCATTGGCAACTCCTACACATTTCGAGTCTTTGCTGAGAACCAGTGTGGGCTCAGCGAGACAGCTCCCATCACTGCTGACCTTGCCCACATCCAAAAAGCAGGTAAGATATGGAGACCCTGAGCTGGGAAGCTAAGGATAAGTAATCGAAGGAGGATGGGGATCTCAGGCACTACATCAGGGTCCTTCTTGGTCACCTTAGCTACTGTTTACAAGACCAAGGGGTTTGCCGAGCGAGATCTCTCTGAAGCTCCAAAGTTCACCCAGCCTCTGGCAAACTGCACTACAGTCACCGGCTATGACACCCAGCTCTTCTGCTGTGTCCGGGCCTCTCCGAAGGTGAGCAGGGAATTCTCTGGGTGGCTGTGCCTCACTGCTTCCTGCTCTGCTCTAACCTTAGCTACATCAAAGTGCATTCTAACCAAAACATTTGTTCCCCTCACCATCATCTGCCTCTTCTGCAGCTGATTACTGGTTATGTAGGAACAGTCAAGGGCACTTGGAGTCCAAGACAGGCAGACATGGATAATGTTCCCAGTATTCCTTTCCATGTTTGTTCCTCATGTAAAAAGATGTCACTTCTGACCTGCTGGTAATTGGGCATGAACTTCAAAGTTGTCTCTCTGGCAAGGGTGATGGAGTCCCACTGGTTTTACCTTACCCACCACATCTCATCTCATCAGGGCCATGCACATGCGAGCTGCCCAGAGTTGGGCCTTTGGCCACAACTCTGAGCAAGGCTCTCTGACTATTTACAACTGATTCACTCCACACATGACATAAAAACCTTTGCAAAGTACCTTTCGTGTATTACTCCTGGGACAAACTATGTGGTGATAACATCTCAGAAAGAGAATATCAATAAGTCCACTCTAAAAACTACTCTTTAACCAGAGGGGACAGGAGTAACTCCCAAGCCAACAGTGGGAATAGAAGATGAATGATTCGATAAAAATACACATAAAAAGAGGCAAAGCTGACACCCAGTGCTTCTGATCCACAGAAGTACTGCTTGAGCAGGATAGAACAGAAGTTAGCACCTTTCTTCTAGTCAGGAATACTTGATGAACAAGACAAGGTTTTGGTTGTTCTTTTCAACCAAGGGAAGGAGCGTGGAGGCTGCTAAGGGTACTGGAAGGGGAACCCCTTCCCAAATATAAGGGATGGAGAGCCATCCAGAAGGCCGTTATCTCTTCTAGGTCCATGTACCATCTGTTCCTAAAGCGCCCTACTCCTCCTGCTCCTCCGACCAGTGTGTCCCCAAGCCTTGTAGACAAAGTGTCCCAGAGACTAAGCACAGAAAGAACAACTGATTCCAGCTATGCCCTCCTCTTTATCTTCCAGCCAAAGATTACCTGGCTGAAGAACAAGATGGATATCCAAGGCAACCCCAAGTACAGAGCCTTCACTCTTCTGGGAATCTGCTCACTGGAAATCCGCAAGCCTGGTCCTTTTGATGGGGGCATCTACACCTGCAAGGCAGTTAACCCCCTGGGGGAGGCGTCCGTGGACTGTCGGGTGGATGTGATAGGTGAGGGCAGAACTCATGCCTTAGGGTGCAGGTATCTCCCTTCTCCACAGGTGGAAAAGTTGGGGTAGAGACAAAGCCTAAATGGAGAAGGGCTTAGTTTACTTCTCCCTTCAGGCCCTTTCATCACCGTCAACATCAGGATGTATTTAAGGAGCCATTTCTATTGTCCGCTATCTCATTTCTCTCCATCATAATTCTACAATTAGGAAGAGCTGCTATTTCCATTTTGCAAAGAGAAACCTTTGTACAGGGAGGTGATTGGATTACTCTGGATTTCCAGTGTTGGTTAATTGAGGAGTTGGCATTATGTCCATGTGGGACGAGCATAAGTATCCTTGTCCCCACCCAAATTACTTAAAAAAAAAAAAAAAAAAAAAAAAGTCCTCTGACTCATTCCAGGAAAGCTGTGGTTTAGTGGGCTTTTAAACAAACCACAGGACTTTCCCCTCTGGTTTGTTAAAAAAAAATATTGCACACCTCTCCATCTCTTTTAAAGTTTATTTATCCATTACTGTCACCTTATTCAGATCTTCATCACGACATGTAGCACATTGTTTTTATAACTACCAATTTACTGACCTGTTTCCCCATTAAACTGAGTAGCAGGGACAGTTTCATTTGCCTTTGTCCTCCCGGCATTGAGCCCAGTTTTTGACACACAGCAGGTACTCTTAAACTGTGTGTAAAATGAATCAGCAAAGAATGGGCTATTACATGTCCTATACTTCCCTATGCAAACACTCCTCATTAGCACCATGGACTCCCCAAAAAACAGAAGCATATCCCTTCCCAGGACTCCAAAAGAAGGTTTCCCAGAGATATCTGAGAGAGTAACACTAAAAAATGTCTGAATTCTTGCAGCTCCTCTTTAAGGCTCCCTGAGAGAACATGGGCAACCCTTGAAGAAGGTAAGGAAAAGAAACATGTCTAAATGTTTTGTGTTTATGGCTGAGACTCAGACATATGTGTATTGCTGAGCCTTTCAACTCTGCATTCATCGATGACAACTTTTCCTTTATTTTATTTTTTTTTTGGTAAATTAATATTATCATCCCTGTGAAGGAAATTGACCATAGATGAAGTCTACTTTTGTTACATGCTCTATCTGTACTCAAGTTCATGATAGGAATTTATGGTCCTCTGAAGAAGACTGATGGCATCTGCCTAATTGTCAGGGGGTTCAGCGGGAGGGCGGTGGTCGGGTGCTGTAAGAACAGATGTCAAGGGAATAATCAGAAGTGAAGGATGGATCAGGGCCACCCCACCACGTGGTGGTAGCATGAAAAAGGAGAGAGGAAGCTGCTCTTGTCAATGAAGTGTTTCTACCTCAATATCATAAGCATAGTGAAAAACAGATTCATTGCCTGTTTTTTACTTTGAGGTTTATGGATTCCTTCTCTTACAAGAGAAGAAAACCATCATTATCATTACATGTCAATAATAATTGAACATGTGGGTATGTGGTGTGGTTCCAGGCAGCACATTACTGGCAAATCACTGTTAAGAATTGGATAGTGCCTTCGGATTCTAAATCACTCACAGGAGAAATGTGTGTCAAACTGACAAGAGAGGTGAAAAGGAAACTCGTGAGAGAATTAGAGAACAGGTTCCCAATATCTTCTCTGACTTGCAGCTTCCGATAAAAATTGTGACTGAATTCAATCCCAGAAGCCATTTATTTAAGCCTATCATTGACATATAGCAAATTAAAACCCTAAGGGATACATTAAAAGTACAGACTTCTCAGGAGAACACTCTCTGCCAGTTGGCTTGCAAAGACAGTTCTCTAGCCATCCCTCAGTTTCCTCTCTTTGTCAGTGTTATGTTGGGTTAGCGTTAGCCTTCTTAGTGTCAGTTGTCCTTTTCCCTCTCTCCCAGCCAGTGCCCAGCAATGAAGCAGCATAAGTAGAGAATTCATAACACAGGGTTGCTTCAGCACCCTGTATGTGCTCTGGCTATTGGCTGTTAAGGCCATAACAAACTCTCTTTTCTGTGCCTCCAGGAAGCCTGACTGGTGAGATTGTGTTCTTAAGGAGCTGCAGTACAACAGCTGGTTTGGACTGATCTAAATAAATGTGTGGCTCCTCAATGCATAAGTGTCCATCTGTTTGTGCCTTTCCATTTGGGAAAACCATTTAGAAAGTTTGAATTCTTTAACCAGATTGTATGGAGTCTCAGATCCTTCAGACTCCTCTTTCTCTTCCCATATCCACTTTCTCTTCCACAGATGTTTCTAATCCTGTCCTTGTCGCTAGACAGTTTATGACAGAACTGAGTTCAACTCTATACAGTACCAGGGGCTGAAAGAGTGACTTGCATCTTCCTCTCTGGGCTTTTCAGTACAAGTTGGATAACAATAGGATGCACATCCATCACAGAGACACAGATGGTGGGACACATAAATACATACATCGTTAATTAGAGACAGAGCACTAAGACTGGAGAGCTTGGAGATACTAAAGAAATTGTAGCATATTCTTATTAAGGCCTAGGGAAAGAATTAAGGTGAGGTGTCCTTGCTTACATTTGTTTTTATTCTTATAACAACAAATATTTATTCTTTTTTAAAAGATTTTATTTACTTATTTTTAGAGCAAGTGGAAGGGAGGGAGAAAGAGAGGGAGAGAAACATCGATGTGTGGTTGCCTCTCACGCACCCCCTGCTGAGGACCTGGCCTGCAACCCAGGCATGTTCCCTGACTAGGAATTGAATCAGCGACCCTTTGGTTTGCAGGCTGGCACTCAATCCACTGAGCCACACCAGTCAGGGCACCAATATTTATTCTTATAACAAATAATAAATATTAAAGGCATTCTGTGATGGAATTTACAAAAGACTGAATGGCAACAATTCTTTCCATCCTAGTATGGGTATGGTGATCTTCCTCTCAAGAGCTGGAATTTATTTCTCCTACCCATGAATCTGGGCTGCCCATGTGATCCACTTTGATCAAAAGAATGTAGCAGAGGTGATGCTGGGACAGTTCTAGACCTTAAAAAGTCTAGTTGTTTCTGCTTGTTTTTGAGAGTTGGCTCTCACATAAAGAATCTCAGGATAGATTACTGAACTATAAGAGGCTACATACAGGACAACCAGGCAGCCTAGATGACAGGACCATGGCTCTACACATATGCAGTCACATTGGACTCTTCATCTGCAGTCAAGCCCAGCCTATACCTTGTGGAGCAGAGACAAATTGTCTCTGCCCAAATTATAGAATCATAAGCAGATAAATGGTTACTATTGTTTCGAGCCACTGAATAGTGAGGTAGTTTTTTACGCAGTAATAGGATGGTGCAAAAGTAGGTTTACAGTTGTGAGTATGTGAAATGGTTTATTATTGTATTATTAGTTATTAATTATTGTATTATTTTCTATACAAACAACTGTAAATCTACTTTTGCACCATCCTGTATATAACTAAAACAGCTTTTCATGCAGCAGTTATTGAACTAAGAACTGTGTCTCTTTTAATATTCATTTTACAAATAAGTAAACTGAAGCTCATAAATTGCTCCACTCCTGCAGCTGGTAAGTTAACAGAGCTAGCATTTGAACCAGCTGTGTTTGACCCAAAGCCTTCCCTATTTGCTCTCATCTCTTTTACTCACTGACCTCCACTGTAGTAGGTATGGGCTTAAGAAAAGATTTCTAGGATCCAGTAAATATTAGGCAAGGTTTTGGGGATGAAGGAGATGTGTTTTGGCTGAGGAGCATGTGAAAGTCTTCTCTGTTCAGACCAATGGTCTCTTTTAAGTTGAGGCAAAGTATTCAAGCCTTTTTCAACTGGAGTTCTACGAGAATTACTAAGTGCTAGTGCCCCAAGGCATCCATTATATATCATAAATTAACTTCTTCCTATGCATCTAGAATATGACTAGTTATGTACCATCCTTGGGAAAATTGAGAAAATAGTCACATAAATCATTTGTAGGGTCTAATGCACTTAACCTCTACTGAGAACGTTGCGGGGGTGGGGCAAAGCCCAGAGGCAGCCAGTTGTGTACACAATGGCCAAGCTGCCTCCCTCCAACTAAGCAGGGCTTAGGTCAGAAAGGAGTAAAATATCCCATCTATGATGCCCTAAGGGTCAGTTAGACCTCTGGCCTCAGCCCGCAGCCCCTTGCCTCTGCTCAAGGGCCACCCCTTAAAGTTCATACATTTTTACACTTCATGGTAAAGGAATAAAATCTTCACACTAAACAAGACCCGCAGTCACAGTTACTCTTTCAGCATTCAAGGAGAACTGCACTGCAATCCTTAATTTCTTCATTTATGCATTCAATGCTGCGGAGTACCTTTGGAACGAAGGCCTACCATGTGCCTGGGAGGGGGTGTAATTTCCTCATTAATTCACTTACTTATCACTTACCCAACACCCATTCATATATATGTATCATTTGGGGTTGAGCCGAGGGGGACTGATATATTTCCCAGATCAGCGGCGTTATGCTGAGTAAAGAATTTCTCGTGCCTAAAATCTGTATTTTCTGACTTTGTTGTGATTTGGAAGAGAAAGTAATTCCATTGCTTTTTTCCTGATACTGGAACAGCTTTCAAAACCATAATGCAGTGGTAGAAAATTGGAGATAAGTTTCTTTAGGAGAAACCCATCTGCCAAAACTGCTTCCCCTGCTTACCTGGAGGTGGGTGAAGAAGTGAATACAGGTTTCCCCACGCAGGCTGCTCCTAGGGGAAGAAAGAACGCAATTAATTAACAGCTTCTGCCCCCCCGCCCCCCGCCCCGGATTTCCACTTTGCTACTGCCTGCGGCAGGCGGGAAGGGAAGCGACTGGTTCCGGCTTTGCCACCTCCATTAACCTGAATCCTGCAGGCAACTAAAATTCCACCTTCACCGGCAAGCCTGGGGAAAAAGAGGCACTCCTGCCCCCTCAGGTCTTCCTCACACGAGCTTGCAAGTTCCGGGCCTCCCCCTCCTTTCCCTGGTCGCTCCACTAGCGTCCAAGGCTCCTTTGTTCCCTGCGACATCTATTACAGCAATATCTCGCTTCCGAAAACCTCGGCATCTCACCTTCACCGCCCCAAACCAAGAAGTTAAAAAAAAAAAAAAAAAAAAGGCGCGTATAAATGGCCCAAGTAATAGTCACAAACGCTGGAGACGGAAGTTCAGGCTCTTTGTTTACAGGAAAGCGCTCCGGCCACTTTTGGGACCTTTTAATTTTTAGAACATTTCTCAGAAGCTCTGTGGACCAGTGGCCCGTCCATTCACAGGCAGCACTGGGAAACAAGAGAGAGAAAAATCCCTGGTAAATAGGCTTCAGCGGTTTACAAACACAGCTCTGACTTTTGAGGTAGTAAGTTACAAATCCCCTCCAAAGTCCCTCAGGCACAGAGGATAAAACTTGATATTCATAATTATGCGCAACCGTATCCCTGTGAATGTCACGATTTTCCCTTCACTGATAATCGAGGGGTCAAACACAGAAAACGACTCAAGCCTGCGTCCCTTGTAAACGAGGCGCCAGGGTTGAATTTGAACCCAGCTCTCCCCGTCTATAAAACCCATTGCTTTCTTTTTTTCTTTCTTTCCGAGCACTTTTTAAATTTTTCAATTACAGTTGGCATTCAATATACATTAGTTTCAGGTCCATAGCATGGTGGTTAGACATTTCTACGGCGTCTGAAGTCTGGTGCCTCCCCGGCACCATGCAGTCCAAGTTATCACGACGTTACTGACTGTATTCCCTGTGCTGTGCTTTTCGCAGCCCGGGGACTACATTGTTTTAACTGCCAGTGGGACCCGTTGTTTTCTTTACACCGCGGCTGCCTCAGGTTCTGAACCTTCTTGCCTTAAACGCCGTGGGAGATGTATGTACTTCTCAGACAACCTCAACATACCTAAATTATCAATGTTGAGGTGCTTCCGCCACTTGGAAAGATCACCACTGAGGAAATCTGGCGACAGCGGCGCTGGCCTGTGGCGTGAGTGCAAGGAAACGAATCTCCTCAGGCGGAGCGTTAGTTTCAGGGCCTGGGGGCCACGAGGGGCGTTAGGTGACCACAGCGGTCTCCGGGGACGTAATCCCCGATCCTCCCAGCAGGACGAGGAGGAGGCGGAGAAAAGGGAATGACAGGGTGTGAAAACCGCACGCATCGGCCCGCGAAGGTCTCCCGGGAACGAGCGCGCGCGCGCTGGCGCTCGCTCGCGACCTCTCGCCTTCAGCCCCCCGGATGGAGCCTTTCTAGGAGCCGCTCTCCACAGCGTCCCCACCTTCAGACTTCCGGCCAGCTGCCCGACGCCGCCCCGCCCCCCGCGGGCTGAGGATGCAGGGATCCGCCAATGGCTGTGCGCCTATGGCCGGAGTGGGTGGGGCCTGGGAGATTCGAAAGGAGCCCCGCCCCCTTGGGGGCGCAGATTCCCGGGGCTAAGCCGTGGGAGAAAAGGTGAACGAGCGGTAGGCGCGGCGGGGCGGAAAGTGGAAACTCTGAGTAGGCTGGAGGTGCGGCGTGGCTGTGCCGCCATGCGGAGTGGAAGGGTGGCTTGGGGAGAGGAAGAACCCGGAGCACGGTGGCAGGGAGGAAGATAGGGCGCGTGGAGCGCCCCCAGCGCGGAGAGGCCGGGTCCCAAAGGGGCAGGAGGGCACTCTGCGGAGGGGAATAGCGTTTCACGGGGAGCTAGCTGCACCTTCCCCAGAAGTAACGGTGGTAAAGCGGAGCAGGTGCTACTCCTGGAACGCTTGCTTTACCCCAAGATGACCCTCAACCCCTGGCTTGCACCCTGATTCTACCTGGGAGCCCTGGGCAGGATGGAGACCTGAGGAAAGGTACACTTTCTCTCCCCTTCAGGTGTAAGCTGACTCCTGCTCCTGCTGGCTGGAACATGGGAGATTTGCAGGAAGGTAAGGAAATCCCGGAGGGAAGATTGAGAACCATGTTAGGGTCGCACAGTTGGCATTCATTCTTTCCTCCCTTACAGATGTGAAGTTTATAGTGGATGAGACCTTGGACTTTGGAGGGCTGTCACCATCGGACAGGTACCAGCCTCTTTATCCTACCCACGTTCCTCCAATGATGCCTCTGTCTCTAACCCCTTACTGCTTGGCCTCTGGGGCCTGGGTTGGTAATTCAGCAAGGCTGAGTGCAGTGGGGCTGCTGTGGCTGGTTTACCTGGGCCCCTAGGACACCCCTACCGGATGGGGGGCGGGGGAGAAGAGAGAAGCTGGAATGAGATTGCAGGGTGTTAAGAAGGTTAAGTGGATTTGCTGCACTTCATCCGGCATAATTTCCTGGTAAATGCTAAAGGCCTATTAGGCCTCTTAGAAGCCAGGATCTCATCCATTAGAGGCCAGCATGGGCATTGGGGTTTGGGACTGTGTCCCAGTCTCCCTCACACAGTCTCCTGCTCTCCTCTGTGTGGACACGGTGCCTGGTTTGTTTTCTGTCTCAGTCGTGAGGAGGAAGACATAGCAGTGTTGGTGATTCCGGAGAAACCCCTCCGACGAGGCCTCTCCCACCGAAGTGACCCAAATACATTGGCCCCCACCCCCCAGGGTGTGAGGTTCAGCTTAGGCCGCCTGAGCCCAGAGAAGCTGGAGGAGATCCTCCATGAGGCCAACAGGTTGGCAGCGCAGCTGGAGCAGTGTGCTCTACAGGATCGGGAGAGGCCGGGCGAGGGCGCAGGGTCTCGCAGAATGAAGCCCAGCCCTCGGCGGGAGACCTTTGTGCTGAAGGACAGTCCTGTCCGAGACCTGCTGCCCACTGTGAGCTCTTTGGCTCGGAGCACCCCCTCTCCAAGCAGCCACACACCCCGACTCCGGAGCAGCGATAAGAAGGGGTCAGTCAAGGCTTTTCGGACAACGTCTGGAAAGAGGTCCTCCAGTGTGAAGAGGGTGAGTTTAGAGGGTCTGGGCTGGCTGTGTGGTCCCAGACACAATACAGGTGTAGGGTGGTTTCTTCGTTGGTATAATGGAGATAGTGAAATTCTGCCTCATAGCATTGTTAGAATTAAGTGCAATACCATAAGCCATGCACTTAGCCGCTGTGTCTGTGCAGAGCTCTAGGCCGTCTATAACAAGCTCTCAGTAACTGGTATTGGTGACGAGGATGACGTTAGCAGCTAACTGCTGCCCTTCCGTACTGGGGCCTAGGCAGTTCTCCACCTCCATCCCACAATCAGCCAGCAGAACAGATTCTTTTTCCATTCTAGTCCCATTTTTTTCTCTCTCTCTCTCTCTTTGTGTTTCAGGAGTCGCCCACTTGCAATCTGTTCTCCACATGTAAAAGCCCAGCATCTTCTCCTCTTGCCCGATCAACTCCTCCAACCCGATCGACTCCTCCTGCCCGATCGACTCCTCCAACCCGATCGACTCCTCCAACCCGATCGACTCCTCCGACCCGATCGACTGCTCCAACCCGATCGACTCCTCCAACCCGATCGACTCCTCCGACCCGATCGACTCCTCCGACCAGGGGAAAAGCTGGGCCCAGTGGGAGAGCAACAACAAGTGAGAGGACCTGGGCAGCAAAGCTGTGGGTGAATGGGAGAAGGGAGGATGTGGAGCTTACCCTAAAATTCCTCTGCTCTCTACACCAGGCCCACCTGTCCCCGTCAGACCAGCCTTGGCCCCACAGCCTTCTACCAGCAACTCTCAGCGCCTGTCTCGGCCACAGGGAGCAGCTGCTAAACCTTCCAGCCGACTGCCCGTCCTCTCGGCCATCCCCAAGCCAGCCAGCCGAGTGCCACTCACCAGCCGGAGTGTACCACCCAGCAAAGGTGCCCTAGCTCCAGATTCAGTGTCAATTCGGAAAGGACTTCCAAGACCAAGTGCTGCAGGGCACAGAGGTAAGGAAGAATGGACGTGAGTGCGAGAAGTCAGGAGTAAGAATACGCACCCTTGCCCACCCTGATTGCACCCTCCCAGAGCTGGTAACAAGGACCCCCTTCTCCATCTTCATTACCACTCTCTTTGAAGATGGCGAGACTGAGTTCAGGAGAGAATGTGGGTCTGGGCCAGGAGTTTGAGCCTTGGTTTTCAAATACCTTGTGTTCTTTACCTTGGGTGAGAGGAAGGGCACTAATCCTAACCTCACCCTGCCTCCATCCAGTATTTATCTTTGTGAAAAGGTCACGTGAACTTTCTGCTAACTCATTTATTTTAACCCCCATCAAGTTCCTGTTTCCCAGCGACCAAATCTTCCTGGTGCCACTCGCAGCAATCTGCAGCTCCCCAGGAAAGTTGCAGTCCCAGGACCTACCAGGTAAGGCTGGTTGAGATGCTGTCTCTCTCCCCGCTGTCATCTGGGCTTCTGAGCTGTTGGGCCCATCAGCCCTGAATCCTGTATGGCAAGATGGGGAAGAGGAGGGGAGCCTGGAGGTTGGGGTGCCTCGTTTCTTCCTGAGGAACGTGAACTCAGGTGGGTGGCATGGGTTTGAGGAAGAAGGGCGATGCGGCAGTTCCTCCTTTTGTCTCTTTAGGTAAAGCGATCAGGACAGCAAGCAAGAATTCAGAAGCAAACCACTACAGTCACTGCCTGGGACTCACCTCCACTCTGGCCTCCCAAGCCCTCTCGTTGGAGGCAGTTCCTGACTCCTGCAGATGCTGGCCCAGGGGCAAGAGGAGGAGGACATGCCACCGGGCTGGTGCCCCAGGGAGATGGGGTCGATTAGGGTTGAGCTAGAGGGGAGTCAAACTCTGGATTGAAAGATTAGAGAAAAGAGGTCACCCCTCAGCAATGAAATTAACAAACGAGAAATTAACAAACAGTTGTCCTTATCCCCCCACCACCACTCTTGTGTGCAGCCCACGCGAGATCTTCCCAGGCACTGGTTCACGGGGCAGTTTTACCTGCACGTGGCCTCTCTGGCTTCCCTCCCTGCTCCCCAGGCAGGAGTCCTCTGGAATCACATCCTCTACCGGACTCAGAGGCAGGCTCCTGGCCCCCAGAACTTGTTTCCTGTGAATTCTGTGACTCTTAACAGGCCAGTTGATGATAAGTGTACTCCTTTGGCCTGCATTTTTCTAAAATAAAATGAGTGTATTTTTATATTCTTTGTATATGTGAAAGTAAATCCTGCTCCAGTTTCTAACAAATTGGGAGTAAACGCCTACGTAAGTCCAAGGAGGGAGTCAGGTTGGGCTTTCCCAGGCAGAGGGGCCTGAAGAGGCCCTAAGGCCTTGAAACTCCAAATAATCAGGCTGCAACTACCCCCTTGCTGGTATTGGATGGGAACAGGTTGCTTTTTCCCAGGGTTTGTATGTCATTAAAAGGTCCAGATCAAGAATCGTAGCTTAATTCACAGTAGGCGAGGCTATCAAGCCAGGGTCTCGGTAAATTATTTAAGTCCTAAACTTCGGTGTCCTTTCATGGCAAGAGAATGGAGCCTCTGAGGAACTTGAGCATCTTGTCTGCTGTCCTTGTGGGCTGGGTGTCCCTTCAGTAGGCACCCTGGTATTCAGCTTCCTGGTCACTGCAGGCAGAAGATAGATACTAAGACAACTCCACCTTACCTCAGTAGACTTGGTGTTTTCCTCTTATGTCTACTAGACTTCAGGGCTGACACCAGGCTTTGTAGTCTCTTGCAATGCCTAGTGTTGTGATTTGTATGTGGCAGAGAATTTCATTCATTTATTGAAAAAATAATTGAAGTCTCTTAAGATGGATGTTCAATGAATGACAAAGACTCATAACATTTAACTAAGGGTCTCCCTCTTATAGCCTTTGACTTCACAACCGGAACCAACTCAATTCCTTAAGAGTTTGGAGAGACTGTCCCTCTTTGAGCCATGTTATGATGTAAGGAAGCCAGTGGGCAACTGGGTGATGCCAGCTGGTGCCCCCCCACCCCCGGCTTAATGCCCCTAAGTGCTCTGCTTAGGTACCAAAGTGCCCCTCCTCTGTTCCCGGGTCCGGGGTCCTCCACTGCTTTTTTTCTCCTTTTATTTTTCTTTAAAGATCTTATTTATTTACTTTTAGAAGGGAAGGGAGGGAGAGAAACCTCAATGTGCAAGACACACGTGCCTGTCTCGTGCTCGCCCCCAACTGGGGATCTGGCCTGCAATCCAGGCACGTGCCCTGACTGAGAATTGAACTGGCAGCCTCTTGGTTACCAGGCTGGCGCTCAATCCACTGAGCCACGCCAGCCAGGGCTTTCTTCTTTTTATGGGTGATCTTCAGGTTCACGTCACATATTCACCTGTATCACACTGACAGCTGCCTAGACATTCACCTTTCCCTCAGCCTTCTGCAGCAACTCTTGCAGCTCTCCAAAAATTGAGTTGGGGGATGAAGTGTGGAGATGCACTGAGTATTTGACTCTGGAGAAATTTGGCAGAGGCAAGACCTCAGGCGTGTTTCCTGGCTGATTCTCGCACTGGTGTCCAGTAAGCAGGGCCTACTGGTGACTACCCACTGTGACAGAAGCACTGGAAGGTTGGCAGGTCTAGGCACACACTTGGGTGGGTCCAGCAGATGGCAGGTGTGGCCTTGGTGTGGGCCCAGCCCTGGTGGTAGAAGGCAAAGGAGCTGCAGACCCATGTGCTGTTGCCACCTGGTGGCCAGAGAGAGCCAGACATGTTCCTTTGGCCCTCTTGGTCAGCCCTGAGTTTTGTACCCAGCCCCTCCTGCTCCAAACCTGCTTGGGCAACATGCAGTAGGTGATGCCAGCTAGGGAGGAGGTCTGTCTGCCACAGCGGTTCTTTTTGTTTGGCTACCTGTTGACTCCCTTCCCTCTAGTCTGGCTTTCTATTTTCCTTTCCATGCATCCACCCAGCCCCCCACCCAGGAACAACATTGAGGGAAGCCAATGTTTATTGGCCTCTTACTTGCTATGCGCTGTGAACTGTTCTAAGCACTTTACATGTGTTAACTCATTTAATTCTCATAAAAGCTCAATTAGGCAGATGCTATTATTATCATTTTGCAGGCAGAGAAACTAAGGCCCAGAGAGATAAAGTCACTCAGTCCAGTTCCTGGGTTTGTGTTCTTAATCACTACCCTCAAATGCCCCCATGTTAACTCCCTACCTAGGTTGTTAAACAGATCTTTGAAAAACACAAAACTTGGGAATAGAAGGAATGTTGCAGAGCACATGGTTGGCTTAGAGTATGAGTAGCTGCTTCATTTCCATTGGGGAAAAAAAACCACAAAATGGCCCAGAGAGGTAGAGTTAGGGGGTACCCAGCCACTGAGGACCTTGAAATCCCCGCCAGCCTCTCAACCCAGCCCTCCCTGGCTCCTGAACTCTGCCCGCAAGATGCAAGCCCTGGGGGGTTCGGCTGGAAACCTGCCCGCTCTGTGCAGTCCCCTCTGCAGCTACACCAGTCCCTTATCATGAAAATGATACTTTCTGCCACATCGTCCTTGGAAATGCCGGGCCGGGGGTTCTGCGCCGAGGAGGCTATTTGGGGAGCACACCTGGGGTGCTGGTAGAGGGACTGGCGGCTCACACCAGCCGCTTGGCATCGGAGTCCCCTGACCTGGTGGTCTTGCCCGCCCGTTTTCCTGAGGCCAGGCCTCCCTCCCTGTGGTGGGACCGTGGAGAAGCAATGATGACAACGCTCAGCCCGCACAGAACTAGTTTATTCAGTAGTATGGGGAAATGAAAAAAAAAAAAAAACAAAAACAAAAACAAAAAAGACAAGCACAAAACCCTACGATATTTACAGTAACAATCAAACTGTACAATCTGATGGTTAGTATCAAGTTAGAATCCAGCATCTTTGTACTTTTTAGGTCAAGTCATCAGTAGTAAAAACCAGTTAAATTTTTAACCCTTTGCAGGAATTGCTGAGGGGAGAGGTCAGGGGGGAGACTCCATGACAGGAAAAGCCAGAGACCAGTTGTACAAATGAGAAGCAGGAGCATTTCTTGTAGCCACCTGCTCCAGAGGAAAGTCCGTGACAAGTCTGGAATACATGCTTAGCATAAACAGTGGCTCAAATGAATAGCAGTTGGCAAAACCGAGGAGGAGCGGGGAGGGAGGAGAGGCAGGGAGATGACAGCCTGGAGCAAGGGGAAGGGCCTCGGGCCCCACGCCAGGACTGCTGGGTACACACCCAACCTGTAACAGCCACATCAGACCCCCGGGACCGGATACGAACCCATCCCAACACGACAAAGCAAATAAATAAAAAATATATATTAACTCTCTCTTCGAAGGGAGCTGGGGTCGGGGGCGGGGGGAGGAAGAAAGAGGAACAGGACCTGGTCCTTTGAAGAAGAGAGCCAATTCCCAGAACGGGTTAAAAATAGAACATGTCTCAGAGGCCACAGCAGGTCAGACAAAGTGGGGTGGTCTGTCTGATCTTGGGGGTGGGTGGGTACGTGGACCCCAGAACCCAGACTTGAGACCAGTGCTGGGAGCAACTGAGCCAGCACTGTATTTACTCTTCCTCCCTGTCCCACCCACACAACAGCAAAGAAGCGCAACTTAACGTGACTGGCCTTCCCCACGTGTGGGTCGGGCAGGGAAATGAAGCACTTTTGGGTCAGCGAACTGAGCAAACGCCTGGACTTCGCACGTGGCCAGAGTCCAGGAAAAGGAGAGGGGCTAGGGTGGCCCGGCCGCCACCCGGGGGCACGGGTTCCCCTCAAAATGTGTTCATGCAGCATTTGGGGGTCCGGGGGCGCTGAGTCCTTCTGCCCCCTCTCCGGACGAGGCTTCTTCAGTTCCTGGGAGGGGCGGCAGGGGCAGGGTGAGGAGCGCCCCTGCCCTGCTGCCCTCCCGCACTGAGGCCCGCCCGGGGCAGCCTGCAGGGTCGGTGCCCTGGGCGCATGTGGCTTTGTCCTTTCCTTTTGGTGATGGCGGATGAGGGGCAGGCCCCCCAAGAGTCCCTCTCCTCCCAGAGGCACAGCAGATGGGAAACCGAGGAGAGGCTGGGGAGCATCCTGGGAGGTCCTATCCTCTTTGGGAAGGGAGTGGGGAGTCAGTTTCCAGCATATAAAAAAAATTAATCCCTGAAGTCATGAAGAGTGAAGATCCTTTTTAAAAATTTTTTTTCCTCTTTTCTGAAAAACTTTGTCTTGGAGATGTTGGCCCCAGGGGTCCAAAGTGCAGTGAGGGGGATGGTAGGGGAGGGAGTTGGCACTAGATGGCCTTGGGTGGGGTGAGCGCCCCTCCCGGCAAGGCCCAGGCTCCTCAGATGGACGTTTCGTCGCTGCTGCGGACAGGCGTGGGGAGCGGGGCAGGATAAAGCACAAGACAGGAGTAGGGGCATGAGTGCCGCTGGGGAAGGCAAGGGAGCCGCAGGGTGTAGGAACCAC